CCCCAAAACCCCAAAACCCCAAAACCCCAAAACCCCACTTAGGAAGAGAAGCTATGAAATTAATATTTTAGAAATGGACAAAAGAATAAATGTATGAACACTTTTGCTTGCATACCCACATTTATACAAGATTCCTAATATTGTATAGAGTATATTTACTAAAAATTACAAAGAGCCTGACGATTTTCCAGAAGAGCATGTGATCGAAGATTTTGAACAGGGAAAGTGGAAGAACGAATCAATGAAGAATTACTACAATGATAAAATAACTAACAGAGGAGAACTTAATTATAGCAGTAATAGCCTCTTCTCTCTTCCCAGAGCGATAATGATGTCAGTATATGATCAAGTAGTTATCCTAAACATTAGCAAGAACTTGTTGACTGAGATTAGCGAAGGCATGATAAAAGCTATGCCAAACTTAAAAGAACTAATAGCAAACAATAACAAGATAACCTTCATTACCTCTGAGATATACTTACTAAAAGATACACTGAAATAAACTGTTGCTTGGGTGCAATAATTTAGAAGAAATCACACCTGAAATTTCACAATTGGAGAACCTTCAGTACCTGTGAATTAATAATAATAAGTTGAAGTATCTTCCTCCAGAGATCTGTGAACTAGAAAAGCTCAAGACGCTTGACGTATCAGATAATAATATCAACTCTTTACCTTATGAACTGGGAAATCTGAGGAATCTCAAGAGGCTAAATCTAGAGAATAACCCTTCGCTTAATTGTAATATGCTTTATTAAAGATATAGCTATACCTACAAGCTTGTGAAACCTTGATAAATTAGAGAGAATTCTCCTCGAGTGGCTTATCTATGTCCCTAGAGATGTTGATTTAAGCATCAACGAGCATGGACAAAGTAAGAATGTAAAGCCAATATACCCTATAAGCTCAGATGCTGATATCAAATCCAAAAAGGCTCAGCTCTTAAGGCAAATTCTTAAGAGCTTTGATAGCCAGGGGAAAGAAATTGTCAACTTTATTGACTTTATCGGATGTAATCAAGATAATATTGATTATCAGGATAGCCGTAAAAGAACCAAGATCAATATTGCAGCTAAAGAAGGACATTATTTGGTGGTTAAAGAATTACTAAAGGAAGGAGCAGATCCTAATGTGTATGATAAGGATAAATTTGCAGCTCTTGGACTAGCCATCCGTGAAAGTAATGATGAAATAGCTTCATTATTACTCTCATCAAAGTTTCAATCAGATCAAGGAGATATCCCAAGAGTAGACCTCGATATAGGCGCAGGAAATTTAGGTAGTCCTCTTCATATTTCTGTGGTTAAACATAAGACATATATTGTGAAGAAAATGATAAAAATGGGAGCAGATCCTAATATTCAAGATAAGGAAGGGAACACTCCTCTTCATCAGCTTTTAAGCATTTTCTCCAAAAACGAGGAAGAAAGTTCAGCTCTACTAAAAATTTTGATAGAAAATGGAGCAAATCTGCAAAGTGTAAATACTCTAGGTTTGACTCCATTGCTTCTCGCCATAAAGAAGAAGCAAAAAGGAGCAATTTTAAGTGTTATGAAAGAGCCTCCGCATATTCTTCAAAATTTTAATCCAGACTTTAAGGAGGAGAGTTCTGGTTACAACTCAGTTTATCTTCTCTTGAAGCATAAATTCACTGAACTAGCTGAGAAAATGTTTCTAAAAGGAGGTAATTCTTTAATCCACCTTCCTGGTGGTTGGAAATAAATGCTGTGTGGAAGCAGAAAGCTATAAAACTAAGTACATAATTAGAAAGATGAGGAAATTCCAGCTCCGTTCTAAATTCAAAGTCCCCTTGAATACAGCTCTGACAGCTCCTTACGAAGACCTTGTCCGGAACAGGATTCCATTCTACGAGGACACTTCTGACATTGGTATGTCTAGCCCTACTGAATACCACTGTGTAAGCCACCTTATAAAGAAGCAGCAGATTACCAAAATGGCTCTGATACACAAATCTCATGAAACGAGGCACACCAGGATCAAATTCGTGAAGCACAAAGTACCTGCTTCGCCTGAGTAATTTTTTGAGAATTTCAATTATATGTTCAAGTTTAGGGGTTTTGGGGTTTTGGGGTTTTGGGGTTTTGGGG